AATCTGTGCTCCGTGTGCATGCAGTGCCAGAGGCCAAAGAGGGTGATGAATTCCTTGGTACTAGAGTTACAGATGATTCTGAGCCACCATGTGGGTGCTCTGAATCAAACCCAGGACCCCTGGAAGAGTAGTCAGGGCTTTTAACCATTTTTCCAGCCTTAGTATTTACAACTTTAAAAGTATATAATGCAAAAATAATTTCACTTGTCTCCTCTTATATTAAAAAACCCATCAGACTGACTCATTTATTCTGATAAGGTAATGAGTTAGTTTCTGCTTGAAAAAGCAGGCTAAATATTGATGGGGCATTTAAGATACAGTTCATACCACCAACTTAGCAAAAAAAAAAACTATATACAATTAATAGTTGAAAGTAATTAAGTACTGTGTTACTCCTGTACATCCTAAAAATAATCAGTAATAGTTAATACATTTATGCTAGTTTTTAGATCTTAAAACGTCATATTAGAAAATAACAATTGTTTAAACACACACACCTTTTCTTGGACAATTGCCACATATGGAAGAATCATTAAAACATCCTTCTGTCGGCAGAGCAGTTCTTGTAGCATTAAAATCTCAGCCACAAGAGTTTTTCCACCACTTGTTGGCAAGGAATATATTAAATTTTTTCTTTTTTGCACAGAACTTAATGTGAGACAAGTATGCTGCCAGTCTGTAGAATTCAAAGAAAAACAGCAGAGATTATTGTCCCCTTCAATATTCTCAAGAATTTTTCTGAGACAAAATCATTGTGGCGGTCTTCATGAGGACAAATACAATTCTCACAGAGGGCAAAAGGCCAGTCCTGAATGAACCCAGCAGATCTGAGTTCAGCCCTTGTCACCCTAAGATACAGGAGCCAAATTCCAACAGAGCAGACATGGGCAGAGAAGGGCAGTCTAAGAACCTGTGTTCATTCTGAAATCATCCTGTGTTCTACAAGAGCGTGTAGGCTTCCCTCCCTCACTTACTCAAGAGCTTCTTAGGCAGAAATAGAGGGGAAAGAAAAGAAAATCCACAAGATCTTGCCCAAACCAGAAAAGCCTGCAATCAGCGCTTCTGGACTTGATCTTTGAGTGATCCAAACGTCATTTAAATAGGACTACCTGAATCATAAAAGGCTTCAGTTACTGACTGGCGCACCCAGGGTCTCTGGGAGAGAACCAAATCCCACCAGTTGTCCTCTGACCTCCAGATGCATGCCAGGGCACACGTATCTACATACATACACACCCAAGCACATAGAACAAACAAATGGGAAAAAAGTTAAAAACTATTTACACACCTAATATACAGTTTAAGAAAACTCATCCCAAATTTAATTTAAAGGGCTTCAATATACTATTTTAAGAATTAACGGCCCAGGCCAGGCGGTGGTGGCACACGCCTTTAATCCCAGCACTAGGGAGGCAGAGGCAAGGCAGATCTCTGTGAGTTCGAGCCTGGTCTACAAAGCGAGTTCCAGGACAGCCAGGGCTGTTACAAAGAACCTTGTCTCAAACAAACAAACAAACAAACAGCAGAGAAGAAGAGAGTGTTGGTGTACATTTAATCCCTGTATTTGGGAGGCAAGGGCAGGCAGATTGCAGTGAATTCCAGGCCAGCCTCGTCAAAACAAATTTCCAAGACAGCCAGGGCTACACAGTGAGGCCTCACCTCAAAATAAGACATTATTAAAACAGTCCATTTAAGATCCTGAGCAGTCAAACCACTAAATTCTGCTAGAGAATTCAGATGCAGCCAATACCAATGAAACAATAAAAGAATGAAGGGGAGAAGAAAAAGGCGAGAAGCAGAGTGGGAAGGATGAAAACTCAGCGGTGTGGCCACAGCAGAAGGTGAGGCTGCTCTGGATCAGATCTGGGCTTGGATTCCTTCGTCTCTGCAACTTAAGTGAAGGCACAGAAGGGAGGGGACCGAAGACTAGAAGACTACCTAGGCAAGAGGCACAGCAGGACGTCTGGCTTGAGGACGGTGAGGAAGGAAGTCTGTGACAGCAGGCTTAACACAACTGACATTCTGGCCATTCCAGATGAGAAACAGAACCAAGTCAGAACCAAGGAATCACCTGCTTCCACTGGTTTGAATTAATGTTATAATATGATTTTTTTTTTTTTTTTGGTTTTTCGAGACAGGGTTTCTCTGTGGTTTTGGAGCCTGCCCTGGAACTAGCTCTTGTAGACCAGGCTGGTCTTGAACTCACAGAGATCCGCCTGCCTCTGCCTCCCAAGTGCTGGGATTGAAGGCGTGCGCCACCACCGCCTGGCTTGTTATAATATGACTTGAATTATAAATTCGGTTTTCATTTTATAAAAAGCATTACCATATAGTTTTTTGATTCCTTTCAACTGAGCATAAAGGTCTCTCACTTTGCTGGGTAGAGAATAAAAAGGACCAAGATCATCCGACGGTGACTCCATTGCCTTCCTAGCAACACTGATCTCCTCAGATAGGAGGGTCTCTTTGAGGTGTTTACTCCTGGAAAACACCGGTGTTTGGGCTGTGGCATTCCCAGCCATGGCACTTTTCAGGTGGTCTGCAATACTCTTCCTCCTGCTCGTCTCTGAAGAAGCTCTGGCTTCAGAGAGGTCATCATTTGGCTGCGGTAGCTCTTGATGGCTAAAGGCCGGTTCCTCATTCAGCGATTTATGTGAGTTCCCATCTCTTTCCTTAGCAGATTGATCGCCCAAATCATTTGATGAGTTCTGTATACGTTCAAAATATAAAATCTGAGAAGAAGGCACATCAAACAAAAGATCACTGTCAGGTTCAGGCCCAGCAGGGCCATCTGCAGCACTCTGGTTCTTTATGTGTTGGTTAGTTTCAGGGTCAGCAGAGCTGCTCACAGCGAAGACAGGGAGTTTGTTTTCCATGCTTTCTGAACAAAGACCTTTGGTGGCCGAGTCTGTGACAAGCTCCCTGTGCTCGGGCAGTTGTGTATATTTTTGTTCCAGGTCCTCAACTTGAGCTAAAAAGGAATTTTCTGTAAAGCTATCATAGCCATTAAACATGTCCTCTTCACTGTCGTTCTCCTGAAAGGGAAACAAAAATACATAAAGAGTTCCATCCTTCATAAAGAATAAAAAGTGTTCCGGCAAATCAAATATATCACTATATGCAAATTATCCTCTGAATACATTATCACCAGATAAAAGAAACAATCAAGCCCAGAGACTTGAACTGACTTGCCTAAGAGTGCTGCTGGAGGGGGTTGGAGAGATGGCTCAGAGATTAAGAGCACTGGCTACTCTTCCAGAGGTCCTGAGTTCAATTCCCAGCAACCACATGGTGGCTCACAACCATCTATGAGATCTGGTGCCCTCTTCTGGTGGGCAGGCGTACTTGCAGACAGAACATTGTATACATAATAAATAAATAAATTTAAAAAAAAAGAGTGCTGCTGGATTATTATGGGATATCAGGATGCCAGGACAGGATCTCACATAACAGAGGTACAAAGTTTTGAACCTCCCACCTCTGCCTCCTGAGTGCTGGGACTCAAACCCAGGGCTTTATGCACACTAGGTAAGCATTCTACCAACTCAGCTATGCCCCCAGCTCAGCCCAAGGGGTGATACTATACTTTTAAATTATTTAGGCCTGCTCCTTGCTCCACTGCAGAGCCCAAACTCCCAGTCTTTGGAATTTAAAATTTTTTTACTTTATTTTATAAAGCTTTGCCTCCACGTATGTCTGTATAAGTGTTGGGTTCCCAGGAACTGGAGTTATAGACAGTTGTGAACTATCATGTGGGTACTGGGAATTGAACTTGGGTACTCTGGAAGAGCAGCCAGTGCTCTTAAACACTGAGCCATCTCTCCAGTCCCAGGGATTTTAATTCCTAAACCCGTGCTAAAGCACTGAGAAATGAAAGAATGGTAGACATCTATAAGGTTGTGAATTTAATAAATACTTTTGGAAATCCCTACCCAGACACTAAAGTAGAGGTTGGCCTGTTACAAAATCATGGTTGTACCACTAGACACTACAAGCAAATTCTTTTCTGAACTTGGAATTGTGACAAGAGAATGCACTCTCATGTGGGGTGGCTTGTTGAACAGAAAAGATAAAAACTGGGAGCTAATAATTATTTATTAGAGTTAGAACTTGGGCTTCTCAACGTCCTGGGGCCTGGTTTAATAAAGTAACCAGCATGTCAGAGGTCACCAATAAAAAGTTTTATTGGTAAAGTAGAAATGAGTCATTTTGAAGGCTGGCCTTCTATCTGTCAGAGCAGTTAACTGCCCCATGAATACTTTTTATGACAAGGATAGTGTATTTGTGTGTTTGTGTGTGTGCGTATGTGTGTATAACAGGGATGGTGTGTGTGTGTGTGTGTGTGTACGTCTCACATCCACTTAAAGGTTTAAGGCAGTGTCTCCCCAAGTGTAAACAAGGATGACGATGAGAAGCGCACAGGAAGGCTGCTCATCTAACCGGTCAACCGTGTGCACCTGGGAGGTTTCGAGCCCCCTCCCCTCGCAGCGGTGCCCGGTGCAGGGGACGCGGGTCGGTCCTGCAGCCCTCGGTGATGACGGGACCGGGCTCTGCAGCCCTCGGTGATGACGGAACCGGGCTCTGCGGGGAATCAGCGGGGCTGTACCTGGGCGGGCTCCTGGCTCCCGGTTTTGCGCCGCCGCCTCCCGGCCGCCCCTTCGTCCTCCAGGTCCTCGGAGGGCTGGAGCTCGGCCGGGGCGGGGGCGACGCAGAGGCTCTCTATGCTGCCGCGGTTCCTTTTGCGAACAGACACCCGCCTGCGGATGTGGGGACCGCCGTCCTCCATGGCTAGGGCAGAGAGCCGGGCCGCCCGGGGTGCAGACTCAAGCCTCTGCCACCGCTCGGATGCTCTCCATCTCCCCGCGGCGCGGTCTGATATCACGTGACATCCGGCCCGCGGAGGGCGGGAACAGAAAGGTGCCCTTTTGTCGCGCTGAAATCCCGGGCGCGCCTGCACCCGGAACCTTTGCGTAGAAGCCCCGGGGCCCGCGGGGGAAGACTACCGGGAAAGGACCTGTCGGGCCGATTAGGGAAAGGAAAGGAAGAGGAAGGGCGAAGAATCATGACGGCTCTGGTGGTGATGTGCAGTGGTGTAGGGAGGAAAAGCTTGACCACGGCTGCAGTCTGCCTCGCGGATCGCGGAGCTCACACGGGTAAAGTCTGCAGCAGAGCCTTGCGGCCGCAGTCGGCTTCTGGTTGTCGATGGCGTCTTTGCTCTTAGCGACTTGACTTTTCTACACTGTAACTAGCTCTAAGAGGGGTGGGAAGCTCGAGTCGCCTGAGACTGGTTTCTCACAGCTAAGCAAGCAGTCCTTTGAGGTGTAGTCAACTCGTTACTTTTAATTTTTGTTTCTGTTTTTCTCTGTCAGTAAATTGAATCGTTTTCTTGTATTCCCTTTGGGATGGCAGTGCCTTTCTGTTGCTCCTGGACATACTTGCATTGCAAGCTGGTAACTGTAGAAAGGGGGAAGGTTTTATAGGAGAGAAAATATGTATGTTCAAAGCCTTGGGAATCATTTTAAGTTCTCTTGTGCCCCAAATCTAACAGGATGTTAACCAATCACTGAGTAAAAAGATTATGAAACCTTTATTTTATATTATACGGGTGTTTTGTTTGTTTGAGACAGTATCTCACTATTATGTAGTTTTGGCTGTCCTGGAACTGAGTATGTAGACCAGGCTGCCTTGAACTCACAGAGATTCACCTGCCTTTGCCTACCACGTGCTGGGATTAAAGGTGTGCACCACCATGCCCGGCACTATATCGTGCCTTTTGATTCTGTAGCCCATTTAAAGACATAAGTCTTTGTTAGATATTAAGTGAATGAAAATAATTGGGTCATTGCATTTCTGTTTACTTACAGTGCTGTGGAGAAGAAGTTGTGCACAGTATAAACAGGTAGCCAGCAATGAGGATCTGGTAAGATTCCTTTTTATTTTATTTTTTTAATTTTTTTTTAAGATTTATTTATTTATTTATCTATCTATTTATTTATTACATATACAGTGTTCTGCTTGCATGTATGGTTGCAGGCCAGAAGAGGGCACCAGATCTCATTATAGATGGTTGTGAGCCACCATGTGGTTGCTGGGAATTGAACTCAGGACCTCTGGAAGAGCAGTCAGTGCTCTTAACCTCTGAGCCATCTCTCCAGCCCCCTCCTTTTTATTTTTTTAAAGAAAATATTTATTGTTTTTATTACATTGGGGGGTGGGAGCTGTGGAAGCCAGAGAGGGCATTAGATCCTCTGGAGCTAGAATTAGAGGTGGTTGTGAGCCACTGGATGTGGGTGCTGGGATCCTAAGCCCTGTCAGTAAGAACAGCAAGTGTGTTTAACCACAGACACCCATCCAGCCCCAGATTTTTTTCCCCTTATATTACTAAGCCATTTCCAAATTTGGCCTAGTTTTTTATATTTTACCTGTTTGGAATTCAATTATAGGACAAAGCAAAATAATGTTTACTTTGAGTTTGGAAAGTCTAACTTACTGACTATGGTCACTTGGGTTTTGAAGGGAATCCTAGATTTTGGGGGGATTCTGTAATACATATTTTTCTTTGTAGATATTAAAGGATATGATTTGAGAATTTCTAAACATAGCTTGGGTAGATAGAATAATTGTAGATAATAGAATTATGGAACAGCATTATTTTTATCTAATTTATCAGTTTTGACAGGCTACCTTGATAAAAGATACAATTAAAGTTATTTTGTTTTGTTTTCTTCAAGACAGGTTTTCTTTGTGTAGTCCTGGCTGTCCTGGAACTAACTTTGTAGACCAGGCTGGTCTTGAACTCATAGAGACCCACCCACCTCTGCCTCACACCAAACTAGTTTAGGACATTTAATCAGCTGCTTCTAAACTGTAGGTGTATTTTTATGGGTTTAAAGTATGAACATGGATGTGGGCACCCAATCACACCATGCAAGTACTTAGCTAGAGTTGAGGAGAAATATAGCTTATATCTCAACTGATTATAAATTGGATTAAGAAAACTCAAGGCAAACTAGATGTGGTGCACACATATTGTACTAGCACTTAGAATGCCGAAGTGGAAGGATCTTTTGAGTTCAAGGTCACCCTGGGTTACAGCAACAACAACAAAACCTTTTTGGCCTTTTGGCTAAGATCAAATGTTAAAAAAGAAAAGCGGGCTGGAGAGATGGCTCAGCGGTTAAGAGCATTGCTTGCTCTTCCTAACGTCCTGAGTTCAATTCTCAGCAACCACATGGTGGCTTACAACCATCTGTAATGAGGTCTGATGCCCTCTTCTGGCCATCAGGCATACACACACGCAGACAGAATATACATACTAAATACATAATAAATAAATAAATAAATAATTTTTTATTTAAAAAAACAAGAAAGAAAAACAGCAAGTATACAAAAAAATAAATTATGTACTGTAAACACCAAGGAATGTGTCAAAGCAGATGAGTGTCTGCCTTAGTCATCTATGTCATACATCATGCTTAAAAATAATAAAGGAAATTTACTCTTGTATCTAGGTCATAAATCCTAATGTGACTAATGCAAAGTATGTATCTTTTCCACAGAAAACGCACACAGTCATACTCATTTGTCACAGTTAAGGAAGGTTATAGATTTCAGAGCCATGTCTGAATTAAGACCCTGTGCCGGGGTGTTGTCATGCAAACTGTAATATTTCAGCATTTGGAAGGCTGATACGGAAGGGTGGGGAGTGTGAGGCTACCATATGCTGCACACTAAGCTGTAGGACAGCTGAGGTTACAAAGTGAGACCCTATTTCAAGAAACCAAACCACAACAGCAAAGGACCATGGAACAGGAACAGAAAAGGCACTGTGACGAGGAAGGAAGAGTGTGGAAGGACAGGGACAAAAGAGCATCGCAGGACACACATGTTGTGTTAGTCCTATTGTAAAAGCAGGAAAAGATTCTTGGGAATAAAGAAGGGACCAGTAAGCGGGAGAGGCAGCTTGAGTGAGAGCTGTAGAAGGTAAATAAGAACAAAGTATAAATCATACACACACATGCATATATACAGAAATGTCATCACAAGCACATGTGATGTATACAGAAATGTATATCATTTATCAGCGTGCTGATCTTGGAAGTCCTCTTCTGCATAAATGATTCTTCATTGCAGTAATTCCTCTTTAGCCAGGTTGACCCAAAATAAAGTACCTGTGTAAAGAGATTCCAAGTGTAGCTGTAGCTTTATCTTTTCTGTCTGTCTTAACACATTTTCATCATGAGACTGTTCTTTTATCCTAGCCAATCCCGATGGAAAACCCCTATAAGGAGCCCCTTAAGAGGTGTGTCTTGTGCGAGAAACGTGTGGATTATAAGAATGTACAGGTGAGTGTTGGTTGGCCTCTGTGGTACTTGACTAGAATTCTGTTCTGTTCATTTGCTCAGACGATCTTGTCACTGTCATCAGGCTTTCTGTAGGACGGATTGAGCAGCCTCATGACATCAGATCTGGTTTTAATGCCCTATGTTATCTCTATTCAGCTCAGAGCCCCTTGCTCCCCTCAGTCATATGATTTGGCTAAGTCCCTTTGCTCTGTTGTGCACAGTGGCTCACTGCACTTTGGGGTTTGGGCAGAGCTGTCCTGTGAAGCTGACCTTTGCAGTTCACTATCATATTATATTGCTTTAGATAGTTTTTCCTTACGCTTTCAGCAAATTAGAAGTAACGGATGTGGGGGAAGTGAATGAAATGAGAAGTATTCTTACAGTAGTGTAAATGACAGCTGCCTCAGGAGGAGGAATTGCAAGAAATTCTAAGAACTACAATGCAGCAGATATTTGGGGGGGAGCCAAGGCTAGTGCCTTGTAGCTAGAAAGTGTTATTAAACTCTTCAAGAAGAAGATGTGCCCTAGTCTGTGTCCCGAAGAACTCACTTGATCACCTGTTGTGACCAGCGAAGTATCCAGTCCTGGCTGTGAGCAGCAGTGTTAGGGCTGTGGGAGTTGGTCGCCATGGCACCTAACAGAAAGTGTGCCTTGGTCTTACTAAGTTTCTGATACATTAGACGTTAACTTTTTAAAAAATGCCTTGTTGCTACAAGGTATTTTAGTTCATGTTATTAACTTTGTCTGAAACGTAGTAAATGTTTACATAACTTGAAGGTTATTTCTAAAACCTTTTTAAATTTACATATTCAGGGTTGAATAACAAATACACTAACATTTTTCCCTTTCAAATGTAACCCCCACAGCTTTTGTCCCAGTTTATCTCTCCATTTACCGGATGCATTTACGGACGGCACATAACAGGTACTTTCTTAATCTTAGAGATGTAAGTGTAGATAAGAATCACACTGGTCACTGGTCGCTTCTGTTATCTTAGGAGACTGGCAGTTTTCCGTCATGCTGAGTCAGTGTTAGGCCAGCTCTACAGGGACTGGAGTGGGATCCTTAGGGGAGGATTTACCTTCAGTGCAAGCAGCAGTTGCCTCCTTTACTCCCAGCTAACTTCAGGATGACAACATACAGAAATTTGGGCTTAAGCGAGAACTGTATCTTTGTCTAGACAGGTGGTCCAGCAGTTAAGTTTGCATACACTTCTTACAGAAGACTGGAGTTAAATTCCCAGCACCCACATCAGGTGTCTTGTAACATCTGGGACTCCAGCTCCAGGGAATGCACATGTCTTGCTTCTGCAGGCACCTGAACTCATGTGCACATATCCCACCACCATTAAAGATAGTAAAACTAGCTGAGTGGTGGTGGTGCACGCCTTTAATCCTAGCACTTGGGAGGCAGAGGCAGGCGGATCTCTGTGAGTTTGAGGCCAGCCTGGTCTACAAGAGCTAGTTCCAGGACAGACTCCAAAACTACAGAGAAACCCTGTCTCGAAAAACCAAAAAGGAAAAAAAAAAGATAGTACAACTAAATCTCTTTTAAAATTACTATTCCTAGACTAAACAGTGTCAGCAGCTGATGGCGCTATCCAGACTGTCATTTGCTTTTTGTTTATTTGTTTACATAGGGCCACATGGTTGTCACTGAGTTACAGTTAACAGAATCGAGTGTATGACAGACCAAATGATTCACAAAAGATTTTTTAACTTTTTTTTTAATATTTATTTATTTATTATGTATACAATGTTCTGTCTGTGTGTATGCCTGCAGGCCAGAAGAGGGCACTAGACCTCATTACAGATGGTTGTGAGCCACCATGTGGTTGCTGGAAATTCAATTTAGGACCTTTGGAAGAATAGGCAATGCTCTTAACCACTGAGCCATCTCTCCAGCCCCATTTTTTAACTTTCTTAACAGAAAAATACTTAGCCAGTATTCATCTTAGAAAACTGTTGTGAACGTAATGCGAGCATTTTCTGACGTGTAAGAAAGTGCCTGTTGTGTTTCACAGGTCTTTGTGGGAAGAAACAGAAAGAAATAACGAAAGCCATTAAGAGAGCTCAGAAAATGGGTAAGTCCACCTGCGCAAATGAACGGAACTAGTTAAGACTTTACTCATGGGGGCAGGAGAGATGGCTCAGCGGTTAAGAGCATTGACTCTTCTTCCAGAGGTCCTGAGTTCAATTCCCAGCAACCACATGGTGGCTCACAACCATCTATAATGAACTCTGGTGCCCTCTTCTGGGGTGCAGGTAGAATACTGTATATGCAATAAATAATCTTTTAAAAAAAAAAAAAGACTTTACTCATGAACTTTGTGAAAAACTTGAATATCTCTTTACAGGGTTTATGCCAGTTATGTACAAGGATCCGGCATATCTCAAAGACCCTAAAGTGTGTAACATCAGGTACCGGGAATAAACTGCGAAGTTACTGCCAATAAATCTGGAAGTGAACATGTTGGCACTGACGGAGCTGCTTTGAGTAAAAGTGTCTTTCAAGGGATTAGGAGGGATGGGATGTACCCTTCCACACCATGAGTGTGCTCTGGGCACACTGCTTGAGATGGTAATGTTACCTTGTACACTTTGGTAAAAGTGGTACCTCATGGTGTCGCACCTTCTTTATATGGTACCTTTGATTATGGAAGGGGCAGGCTTCTATTAGAATTCCACTTAAGCCCAGATTCCATTTTAGGGGATTGGTTATAGAAAGGTAGTGTTTATGAATCCCATGTAACTGGCTGTGGAATTCAACTTGCTTTGGAGCCATTCTGTGGTTTTGTGTGCACATGTGCACAGGAGTGTATGGAGGCTACAAGTTGACATCGGGTTTTTTTTCTCAATGTAACGCCACCTTTTTTTTTGTAAAACAATTATTCACTGATTTGTGTGTGCCTGCCATGAGGGTACATGTGGAGGCCAGAGGTCATTGTCTAGGCATTATTTCTGTCCTTCCAGCCATGAGTTCTGGTGACAGAACCCAGGTCTCCGGGCTTAGCACAAGTATTTCAACCCACCAAGCCATTGTGCTGACCCGTTTACCTCATGGTCTGAGTCCAGGCCTGAGACCAGGTCTCCCTGGAGTTCACTTAGACTGACCAGCTGACTCCCAAACCCCAGGGACCCTCTTCCCTCCACATTCTCAGTGCTGCGACTCCACGTGCACACCACTGTGCCAGGCTTAACCAAAACCGTGCTCTTGGCTCTTCAGTCACTCATCTCCTTTGACCACACACATGCCCATGCCCTTTATTTTAATGGAGTTGTTGGGGTTCCAAACACAAGTCCTCATGCTTATTGGCACCTTTGCTGACCTATCTCCTAGAGTTGTTTGCTAACTAGTCAATGTTAATTGCACCTGACTGTCAGAGTTCTCATTGCAGAGGTGCACACAGGGAATGATAGTAGGCTAGTCCCTGCGAGACAAACTGTTCCTGGACCACTGTTCTGTACACGGGCAGATGGCACGCAGTCTGCTTTCAGTCGTCTGTGATGATAGGAGGACCTGTTGACAACTATGGCTCTTGTCCTGTGCTGTACAGTACTACATCACCAGAAAATCACCCCAGCAAGCTGTACAAATCATCCCCTGGGTAATGGGTGGCTTCACAACAACCCCATAGAATTAATGCATATCAACACCCAAGTCAAAGTGTTACTGCTACATAGAATCATGTCTTAAGTAGTTTCTCCAGGCAGCAACAAGTGGAGAACAAGGGTAAAGTGTGTTCAGTGTTAACGTGCACTGAGTAGAACATAGGTAATGTGTGTGCACTTCACTGAACAGGTGAAAAAGACGAACACATCTGCAAGGACAGTTTTGTTTGTCCCTTCTGAGATGGAGGCAGAGTTACCAGTTCGTGGGCTCAAGCAGTCATCTGGCCTGAGGTGGGAACTGCATGAAGATGCAGAGATTTATCTCGATTCTTCTGTGTTTGTCTGTGTATCCTGGCTGTCCTGAAACTCACACTGTAGACCAGGCTGACCTTGAACTCAAAGAGGTCAGCCCTGCCTCTGGCAGCTCTGGGATTAAAGGCTGTGCTGTCACCACCACCCAGCAGCGCAGATTGATTTTGTTTATTTCTGTGTGTGAGAGAGAAAGAGAGAGAGACAGAGAACACATTCTTGGAAGCTGGAAGGACATTGGATCCCCTGGAGCTGGAGTTACAGATGGTTGTGAACTGCCTAATGTAGGTGCTGAGAACCAAATTCAGTCCTCTGAAGTGCCTCAAGCACTCTTAATTGCTGGGCTCTCTCTTCAGTAAGAATCTTAATGAAGTAGATAAAAAACAAGACTTAAAAACTTTAGAATTTTATTAAATTTATTTGTGGGGGTTTCATGATTATGCCACAGTGAAGGTATGTGTGGAAGTCAGAAGAAATTGTGGAAGACGGCTCGTTCCTTCCGCTGAGGGAGTCCCAAGAATCCAACTAAGGTTGTCAGTCTTCACTGCAGATGTCTGTGCCAGCCGAGCCAGCTCCCAGGCCTGATTTCGCAAACTTCTGGGCTCTTTTCTGTGTTGTGAAACAAGGCTAGTTTCTCTTTTCCAATTTGAAGAATGTTGTAGTTTAAAAGAATGCATCTTTAAGTCTCCCTTGATAACTCGGGGAAGCTGAAAGGTTACTCTGAAATAAAAGCATCTTAGCTGGGTGTGGTGGCATGCGTTCTTAATCCCAACACCTGGGAGGCCGAGGCAGGCAGATGTTTGTTAGTTTGAGGACAGCCAGAACTACATAGAGACCTTGTCTCAACAAACAAACAAACAAACAAACAAACAAACCAAAAACCCATCTGGACTACAGCTCAGTGGTAGAGAAGCTGCCTACCGTTCACATGGCCCTGCATCGATTTCTGCACCACAAAGGTTTCTAAAAAGTACTTCAGATGTGGATGGACAGAGGCCAAGCCACTAGAAAGGGGTCAGGAGATGGGAGAAAAAGAATCTGCAGGGACGAGGAAGGCAACAGAACATGGGATATAAAGGGGAAGGGAGAATTCCTACAGGGAAGGCACAATGAGAAGAGGCTGGGAAGCGAGGGAGGTTGCAGCTGAGTGGAACATGTACACATTCACAGAGCATATACAATGTATGAAATATAAATAGTAATTTCTAAAATACTTTATAAAACATCATTATTACAAACGGTTGAGTAGTAAAAATACCATATTCCCCTACAGTGCAGTAAAACATGAACTTCTCATGTGTTACTCCAGTAGCAGACAGTAAAATAGTGTCTGAACCTCAGTCAGGTAAAAATATCATCTAGCAAGAATCAAAATGTGGGAGAGCGAGGGTATTCAGTGTCCTCTTCCGGGCTTCCCATCTCTGTGTCTATATCTGGGCTGCTTGAGGACGTTTTGTTTTGGTGACTGCTTTGGGACTCTATCACAGGTCTGCTTTCTGTCTCCTGCAGCCGTGGTTTCTTCCCAGGCCACTGGTCTTGTGTGTCTACATCTTTACGCTTAGTTATCTGGGCTTCAGGCAGTGGACTAGCGTCAGGGCTGTGAATATACTCCACCATTAGGGTCAGCTTATCCACATCAAGATGGTGCTTCATGCTACATCCACTTTGAGAAATATGTCTATTTTTCAAAGAAATAACACAAGAATGAAGAACCTCAGACTCTGGAAAAAAGGTTCGTAAAGCTTGACAAAGAAGAATGTTCTCCTGGGGGTTGTTTTGGACATTCTTCTCTCCTAAAGAAAATAAGAAAGAGCTTAACGTTAGTTTTACAAACTTATGATTAGCTGTAAAGTAAAAACTATTCCAAAAGACAGATGATTCAGAATAAGAATGATGTAACACTAGATTCCTGTCCTGTGCCACTCTATTCTAAGAGAAAAGCAGTCTTGTACCTTTTTATCCGACACACCCACACCCACTACAGTAGCGTGTTCACCGTTTGGGATGGTTACGAGCACAGTGTCATCACTACTTGTAATCCCAGTCCATCGGGTCATTGGTCAGGACCACGGCTCATGCAATGCCAAGCTAGCGTCTGCAGTGTTCATCTGCTTACCTGCTGCTTTAATCCGGGCTTGCTGCTCTTTTCTAACTTCTTTTAATCGGTTTACATCCATCATTAGTCTCTCTACTTCCCGTTCACTTTGTTCAACTTTGTGGCATATACTCTGCACAATAAAACAGTGCACAGATGAAAACATTCCAGGTTATACTAATGAGGCTTTACAATATAACATTCTCAGACTGTAGAATACCCTTAACCTTTTGTGTAAACCACCTCCATAACAAGCATTTGATGATAACAGCATGCACTGTGGATGTGTTAGCTTTCCATTTGTTTGTGGACCAGCTATTTCCTTGATAAAATTCATTTTGAAATATATATATATATTGGGCTGAGGATAGAGCTCATTACCCAGAATGTGTGTAGCCCGGGGTTCAAGTCCCAGCATGTGCCCCACCCGACAGCTGAGATACATAACTGATTTACATTTATGACGTGGAAGGATTAGCAGTTAAAGATTATCCTTATCTATAGGGAGTTCAAGGCCAACCTGGGCAACACAAGAACCTGTGTCATAAAACCAAAAAACAAACAAAAAACCAACGATAACATAAAAAGTGGCTATGTCTTAAGGAAATTATGGAAGATTATAATTTCTATAAGAGTTATTTTCAAAGTTTCTGTGTTATTTATTCATTAAATAAATTAGTATATAGGGGGTCAGAGAGATGACTCAGCAATTAAGAATGCCTGAGTTAGGTTTCCAACACCCACATGGCAGCTTAAAACTGTTTGTAACTCTAGATACAGGGGAACAAATGCTCTCTGTGGGTCTCCAAGGGCACTGGACACACACACACTGTACACAAAGGCATGAAGGAAAAAACTAATCACATCAAAATAAATAAATCTTTAAAAATTAGTATAGCCAGGCAGTGGTGGCACATGCCTTTAATCCCAGCATTCGGGAGGCAGAGACAGGGATCTCTGAGTTCTAGGCAGCCTGGTCTACAGAACTAGTTCCAGGACGGCCAGGGCTGTTACACAGAGAAACCTTGTCTCAAAAAACCAATGTATATATGTCAGTAGTATACAAAGTGTGTTAATCTTTTTTTTTCCTTTACTATGTTGTACTAACAAGTATGGCTACCATAAAAATAGACTTTAGATATCCAACTGAGAAAAACAACTGACTGATGTTCCAATTTTGAACTCGTGATTTTGTGATTTATTAGAGAAAGCCTCGTGTGTTCCAGGCTGGCCTCAGACTTAGTATGCAGCCAAGGATGACCCTGAAGATCTTCCTGCCTTTACCTCCCCAGTTCTGCAATTACAGATGTACACATCGTAGTCCTGGGGACCAAACTCAGAGCTCTGTGAATTCTAGGCAAGTGTTCTACCAGCTGAACACAGTGCTTGCTTTAAGCAGTACTCCCTAAGGACTTTTCCTAGCAGTGACTGAGCATGGTGAGGACGTTACTAC